TGCTGGTCCTTTGCTGGTTTAAACTGGTCCTTTGCTGGTTTATGCTGGTCCTTTGCCAGCACATGACCAGCACAAACCAGCAAAGGACTAGCTTAAACCAGCATCCCAGCGTCAAAACATACCTAACCAGCATATGCTGTTTTTTTTCAACAGGGATACTGTGTTATCATACATTTTATCCCTGTATGTTTACAAAAAAAAATTTTAAATAGCAAATTTGATTTAGTGTTCACGACACTTAGCCGTTGTTCATTGTTAAAGCTCTAGAGCAGGAGTGGCGAACGTCGGTCCTGGAGAGCCGCAGCCCTGCAGAGTTTTGCTTCAACCCTAATCAAACACACCTGAACAAGATAATCAAGGTCTGAACGGTTACTAGGAAGCTACAGGCAGATTAGTTTTAATTAGGGTTGGAGCTGAACTCTGCAGGGCTGCGGCTCTCCAGGACCGGAGTTCGCCACCCCTGCTCTAGAGGGAGCCAGAAAGTATATTATAAAAGAGTGAACAAGGAAATGTTGTGGCCACCTAAAGGCAAGTAGGTGGAAATGGGGCCTCCCCGGCACATTCAAATTTACAGCACTTTGTGCTCTACATTTTGATATTACCAGTGGAAACTTTGACTTTAGGCGAGAATGATGTTTTTCTTTGAAAATGTAGATTGCTTTATGACGCAAGTGTGCTAACATAAGCTCTTAAAAAGTTAAAAGGACTGATAAAACAATCATCAAAGATGAGAAGGATTGCAGTTAAAGACCGCCAGCTTCCTGTTGTCAAAAAGAAGGAGGCCTCATCCACTAAATTTTGATCATTATTAAAAATTTAAATGAAAAGAAAAAAAAATGATTCACATCGGCCAATTTTCAGTGAAAGTAATTCTGGGTGGCCATCCATAGGGCAACTTTAGTAATAACTTATCTATCTTCTTTCATAGAAACCCCAAACTGCCCCACTGTATCCACCCAGAGCCAGATTCAGAGCCAGAGCCAGACTTCAGAGCGGGAAAATGTCAAAAATAATGTAGGCCCACTTCCTCTGCTTTATGCCATCCTAATCATCACTTCCTGCAGTTTTATTCTACAGGTGAGAAATATGTCTATTCTAATGATTTTCTTTAACAGACTGGCCTGCTGAAAAGATTAGCATAGCAGGTCATGTTGAGTTTTGTGTCGACAAGCTGTATAGACATTTCTGAATGATTTACTCAAGTTTAGACTTTGACAATAATGTGAACAAATCAACTCAGATGTCACTCATCTCTATAACACAGATGATCGCCTGCAAATGGAGGGTCTCTACATCCACGACACCTATGCTTTCACAAAAAGAAAGCTATATGAAATTCTAAGGGGGTAATATCTCCGTCTGCATGTACTCACATGTATTCTCACCTGCATGTACTTGCATGTAATTTTCTCCTGCATGTATTTACATGTAAATTTAACCTGCATGTATTGACATGTACTCAAAAGTATTTTCCAATTACATGTACTCACATGAATTCTCACTTGCATGTATTACCATGTATTTACATAACATTTGACTACTGTCTTTGTTATTTCATTTTCTTTGATTTTATTAGAATGAAATAAACATTTTTACATTTAACCCTTGTGCTGTGCTGAAAATATATTACCTAATTTTGTGTTCCTGGTCAAAAATTACCAGACTTTAAAAAATTGCTTGTAAATCTCCCATTATTATCACCAAATATTGGATTCAGTATTTTTGCTAACTTGTTTTAATTCAATTAGCACAGGTCTTCATGAAGTATTTCTTTTTGGAACTGATTGATCGTAGGCCTGATCTAAGCGTATGCACCTCAGCTTTTAAGTGAACATTGCCAGAATTATCAACAAATAATGCTTTTTTTTTTCAGTCAAACAATGAAGGGGCATAAGCTCAGATCAGTTATTTTTGACCGAGTACACCACATGTGTAACAAGGTAGGAAAAATGATAAAAAAAAGTAAAAAAATTATCATTATCATCAAAAATTATTTGTTTTTTTAGTTGTTATACCCTGTGTGAGCAAAGCCAGTAAGTTTTAGTCCAATGCGATAGCATTCACTTGCATTTTCGGGAAAAAGAAAATCCTCTCTGGGTCAAAATGTCAGGAACACAACACGATTGTTAAAATATTTGATCAACTGTTCCTTCAAGGTTAAATAATGGGAATAAATAAAGAATTATTCTAACAATTCTAACTTTAAAGGGACAGAAATCTTTGTGGATATGACACTGTACACCTCATTATATACAGTGACTACAAAAAGTTCACACACCCCTGATGTTTTAATTGATATTTTCCACCTTTAATGTGATATTGAAACCAACTAAATTCATGTAACAAAAAAGAAAGAAAAAGTAAAACCTAAAATTACCTGGTTGCACTATTGCACACCCTGTTATAATGGGGCACGTTACTCTGTTTGGAATTACCAATCACATTCTTACTAAAAAAGTAATTATAATCCTTTAGTCACTTTATGACATTACATGACCCTTATACAAAAAGACTGGCTGCTGTATTAAAAGCAAAAGATGCTTCAACCAAATTTTAGGTAACGGGTATGCAACTACGTTAGTCTTGTAATTTTTGTTCCCCCCTTTTTCTATTGGTTTGTTACTTGTATTGCAAAAATTAACTAATGATTTAAATTGGATTATTTTTTACATCACAAAAACCTGCAATGACCCTCCTCACGTAAGTCAACTGATGGAGTCAAATAATGCAACAGATCGTAATTACTTTTTTTCAGTAAAAACAAGTCGGACAAGTCGAATGTCATCCATCAGTATCAATCTTTCCTATCACCAAGACACGAAGAAGAAAAAATATGACAAAGGCATCACAAACGTTTTTCAATTTTGTGAACCTCAGCTATCCATCACAAAAACAGGACATGATTGTCACTTGATAACTTGCTGTGCTTTCATATTTGTGGTGCTTCAACAGGATGTGGAACTGAAAAGAGCTTGGTTTACCATATATACATCTGAATTACAAACAACTGTTGCCACAACTAGGACAGGCTAATAGCAACTTTAACAAGCTTTCTTTCATTTATTTGCCTAATTGGTAGTGAAGAAAATAAAACCTGTTTAAATCAATGTGTCTATATTCTGGCTAATGTAAAACCACCTTTACACAGTTTTACATAGCTGAACATTTGATCATAACTATTGTGAACATTTTTTTTTTTATTCTTATGAAACTAAACTGCATATGAAAGTAAGTGGATCAGAATTACTTTATTGCTCATTTAGTAGGATATGGGTTTTTCCTAACATGGTTGTACATCAAACATTTTCCTTTCAACAACTTCATATTACAAGAAAGCTTCCCACTCACTTCCTCACTGACAGACGCATGTCTCTGCTGGGACACCTTAAGAAAAAAGGTAACAACTCAAATAATACCACACATTATGATTCACTTCACAATAATGAATTGTTTAACAAGTGTGTTAAATGTTGCTGTCTTCTCTTATCGCTTAATCGATTTCTCACATCACACTGAGCAACAATTATGTCTCTGGGTGATATTAATCACCTAGCCCACATACTTCCTGTGTTTTCTCACACCAGCAAAAACAAACTGAAGAGCTTTGTCCACCATCACACTGTCAAACTGACAAGGATAGGTTAACATGCCTGACAGGTTCACTCTGCTCACGCTCAGCTTTTATTTCATACTTCACAATGGTAAGAGACTAACCTTTTTCATGCTGTTGTCAGTTACTGGTCTGTGTACATTCATGTCAAACATGCGGATTAAAACAGCTGATACTAATTTAGACCAGCTTAAACTTCTAGAGGGTTTGGTCTTGGCACAGGTTTTAGATGGGCAATAATGTTTTTTTTTTACTGGCACAGTCTAGTTTAACTGCTTATTGTTGTGTGTAGAATTTGATCTCTAAAACCAGCATGAAAGTAGACCATGAAAATTTAAATTACACTGGTAACCAGCAATAAGTTGGTTAACTGGCCATGATGGTAAATTTAGCTTGACATGTTTCTTTAAGTCAGCAGTAAAACATCAGCGTATGAAAATAAAATGTTGCATTAATCAGGATTATATAAATGTCCTGATTGCCAAAACCAGATTAAACAAATATTCTGGTTTCCGGAGACAGTTGTCATATGCCTGTATTCATTTTGAGTCCTGTAAAGTGTCATGGATATTTACCATAAATGAATATGTTTAAACGAAGGTAATTCTGGGTGATATTAGATACAGACATTCAACATTTTGTCACCTTGCTGTGTACAATTGCAATGACATGAATGAGAATAAATTGATTAAAATACCAAACCACTAAATGCATCATAATAAGTAGCAAGAGCATTTCCGGAACAGAATATCAGGAAAATAATGCGCATGTCTTATTTTTATTTAGATTAAGCGGATTATACATTTCAGTAATATGTATATATTCAGGAATAGTCCAATAGCTGTGGAGCATGTAAATGTTATTTTCAGAATAAAGACTTACACCGAATATTTATATTACACCGAATATTTATATTAAGTATAAAATTGTGTGCATATAAACATGATCAACGTCAAACTGTTTTCTCAAAGTAAATTCAAATATACAACATTTGATCTATAAATGAACTAAATTGAATTTCTTTTTTGTTACCTCAGTTTGTAGTTGGAGCGTGAGTGAACCTCTCAACCACACATTGAATGACGATGGCTCAGTCAGTGTCACATGCGTGTTTTATGGAGAAGAAAGGTTTGAATTGGAAGCGAAGTTGAAAATGAATGATAAGGATGTTTGTGAGGTTTATGACAAAAGACAAGAACATAACAAGTGTAAATGGGAGCATGAGGACAATAAATTCACGTTCACCTTAATGAAACCTGAGGCCTTACACAGTAATACATTTTCCTGTGAGATATCCAAAATAAAACCATATCCAGTCAAAACTGAAAAAGGACCGAAAATTAAGCTTTTCCGAGGTAAGTTCACCCCATGTGATTAACACAGTACATCAGTTAATCAGTTTTACATACCCAGAAATCACATTTCAGATTTAGTTTGAATCTTGCATTAAAAAAAAAAAAAAATCAATAACCTTTATTATTTTTTTTAAAGGTTGCAGTAACCCTTTTGCTCCACTGAAGAACAGCTGTCCAATCACTAACCAAACACATAACCAGGATCCCACACCTGTAGAAAGGCCCGCACTTGAAGACACGTATACCGTACTAATCTGTGGTCTGGTCATAGTGGTGATAATGCTGTCTCTCTACAGCATTATTCTTACTGCAGTCTACATCAAATTGAGGGTAAAACTTATTTCCTGTGACTTTTTATTTTATGTTTGTGTTGTTTTATAGTGTCTTTACCACTGAATATCTGTATACATATCTTGTTGCATTCATTTATTTAATCAATAAGGAGAGGCTGTGCTATACTGTGAATATACTGCAGTCACAGTGCTGTTATGATGCACAACAAAATGACTATATTCACACAACAGCACTACCTCAAGGACCTTTCTTTTATTATAAAGCAATCACCACTAATAGAATGCTACTAAGCAACAATCAATCACCATCTAAGACCGGAAATATATATTTTATCATTAATATTTTTAATGCTTCTGTCCTATTTCTTTTCTGTCTTTTGTGTGCAAGCATCTTTTTTTATGGTCTGTTGTTTATTGGAGTTCAATAAAACTGTCAACTTTACTTAGTATCTTTGAAAGCATTTTAAAGGAATAGTTCACCCAAAAATGAAAAATTTCACCCTCAGGCCATCCAAGATGTAAATGAGTTTGTTTCTTCATTAGAACAAATTTGAAGAAATTTAGCATTACATCACTTGCTCACCACTGGATCCACTGCAGTGAATGGGTGCCGTCAGAATGAGAGTCCAAACAAATGATAAAAACATCACAATAATCCACACGACTCCAGTCTATTGATTAATATCTTGTGAAGTGAGAAGCTGCATGTTTGTAAGAAACAAATCCATCATGAAGACATTTGAGCTTCAAACAGATGCTTCCGGCTAAAATACAACTCCTCCATCCATAGTATTGTGTTCTCCAGTGAAAAAATTGTCTTGTCTGAATCAGGAGAGAAATATACACAACTCAAGCACTGCTTACAAGCAAAGGTATTATGGATTATTTTGGTACAGTAAAACGCTTTAATGATGAATTTGTTAATAAACACACAGATTCACAAGATGTTACTTGTTGAGCTGGAGTTGTGTGGACTACTTGTGGATTATTATGATGTTTTTATAAGCTGTTTGAACTCTCATTCTGACAGCACCCATTCACTTCAGAGGATCCATTGGTGAGCAAGTAATGTAATGCTAAATTTTTCCAAATCTATACGGATGAAAAAAAACAAACATTTAACACTTGGATGGCCTGACGGTCAATAGGCAAATTTTCATTTTTGGATGAACTTTTCCTTTAATTCTTCCATTTATAGATAAAACTGAATGGAATCACAGTGCAATATAGCCATCAAATATTTGTTATTCTAAGCTTACATTTATATCCTGCTGCTGAGCTGTTATGCATTTATATATTGTGTTTTTTATCTTCCTCTCCAGGTCACAAATTTGGAGCCTTCTGACACTCTGACCTACGTGCCAATGCAGGTAAAGGCTTTCCTCTGTTGTGCCAACCCTTTTTGTGTGCCAGTAATGTAATATGTCTGTGGTTTCTGTTGAACCAGCACTTCAAACACAAATTCTTTTACTGTTTCAGAGGAATGTAAAACGGCGTGATCTAGAAAACACTGAATATGTGGACATGCGTGAAGTGCAGAAACAGGAAGGATCCCACAGAGATATGAACCACAACTCTCATCTTGCTACTGTCAGAGCCCATTTCTAATAGCATCAGTGAGCTCATGCTTTAACTGCTCTAGGACTTACTGCTTATTATACTTACGCTTCACTAAAGAATAGAACAGGATAAAACTATTTCCTTTCTACCAAACAAAACGGACTTTCCTGAATGCCTGAATCTGCATATTGCTCCTGCACCTCATTCAACTGCTCAAATAACAGTCTTGATGTTCTGTTGCAGATGATTTCATCTGGTGGCTTGTACAACGTAATGCTGAACTGTAGCTATGCCAAGCTAAATGTATATAAAATCTCTAGCTTGGACATTTTTTTTAATTACTTTGATCCCATGGACCAATAATCAATCATAATATCAGTTTTGTTCAGTGTATAATAAATATATAATACAGTGGCTATATTGAATGATGAATTAAATCAAATTTTCTATTAATTTGTGCATTTTGAAAATGTTTATTAAAAGGTGCAAAAAGTAAACATCTGAAAACAAGACAATATTTTACTTTCAATTTTGATTTTCAACATTTAAAAATACAACCGTTCTTTTTTTTCTTTTATTTTTTTCCATCATGGTTAGAAAATGAAAAATTAATGGACGCAAAAGTACGCCATGTGACCCCCAGTGTGATTACCACAGCCATATCACCCTGCAGCCCAAGACTGGTTGCCTACTGAAGCCAAGCAGGGCTGAGCCTGGTCAGTACCTGGATGGGAGACCTCTTGGGAAAACTAGGTTGCTGCTGGAAGAGGTGTTAGTGAGGCCAGCAGGGGGTGCTCACCCTGTGGTCTGCGTGGGTCCTAACGCCCCAGTATAGTGATGGGGACACTATACTGTCAAAAAGCACAGTCTTTCGGATGAGACGTTAAACCGAGGTCCTGACTCTCTGTGGTCATTAAAAATCCCATGGCACTTCTCGTAAAGAGTAGGGGTATAACCCCGGTGTCCTGGCCAAATTGCCCCCCTGGCCCTTGTCAATCATGGCCTCCTAATAATCCCCATCCACTTGATTGGCTCTATGACTTTCTCTCCTCTCCACCTGTAGCTGGTGTGTGGTGAGCGCACTGGCGCTGCTGTCCTGTGGCTGCCGTCGCATCATCCAAGTGGATGCTGCACACTGGTGGTGGTTGAGGAGAGACCCCCCCACATGATTGTAAAGCACTTTGGGTGTACAACAATACACAGTAAGCGCTATATAAATGCATCATTCATTCATTCATCAACACAGTATCATAAAAACTGTAACATACTGTACATATTTGTGCTTGCTCTGACTAGCCTACAACTTGTTTCAAACACTGATAGAAAGAGTGACCAGTCTTAAGTGTCAATTTTTCGAAATGGAGGTTTACACATTATCTGAAAGCTGAATAAATGAGCTTTCCATTGATGTATGGTTTATTAGGATCTGACCATATTTGGCCGAGAGACAACGATCTGAAAAGCTGGAATCTGAGGGTGCAGCAAAAAAAAAAAAAAAAATGAATATTGAGAAAAATCGCCTTTGAAGTTGTCCAAATGAAGTCCTTAGCAATGCATATTTGTTACATGCCTCCCCTGTCTAGGGTCAGGGATGGCAGAAACGAGGACATTTACGAACGAAGCCAGAAAAAAATAAACCGCTTTTCAACCGGCAACCTGGAGGTCTTCTCTCCTGTCCCAGCACTCCACAGAAAAGCACAGACTTTCATAACAGTCCAGAAAATTGGTTTATTTAACAAGTTAAAAAAAAGTACTAAGCACGGCGCAAATAAAGCTTCGGGAGAGGACCAGGCCAAAACAACAAACATAACAGGTCTAATTTACAAAAGGGGTACTTTCTAATCTCTCAAAACAAAATTCAAAATAAACAAAAGTCTTACCGGACTCCCTTTCTAGCCAAAAACAGGAGAAAACATGGACATTAAAAGAAACGGCATCCTCCTCCCTACTGCTCCAAAAGAAATTATAAACTTTTGCCTTACATCTCACGTTGTGAGTTTACTTCACGGGCGGGTTGCGGGTCCAATAACCAAGACTATTTCGACTCGGTCCAGTACATGCTGAGCAATGTAGCCAATCGCACTGCCACTAATTGACAGCTGTAGTGATTATATTAAAGGGAGCGCTCTTTGCTTGCTTTCTGTATTTAATCTATTCACACTTTGAATAAAAGTTTTAATAAATGAGTTTTGTCTACCTCATGTAGGATATTTAATGCAGGTGCAGTTCGGGTCCCAGTTTTTATGTCAAACACCACAGCCATATCACCCTGCAGCCCAAGACTGGTTGCCCACTGAAGCTAAGCAGGGCTGAGCCTGGTCAGTACCTGGATGGGAGACCTCTTGGGAAAACTAGGTTGCTGCTGGAAGAGGTGTTAGTGAGGCCAGCAGGGGGTGCTCACCCTGTGGTCTGCGTGGGTCCTAACGCCCCAGTATAGTGATGGGGACACTATACTGTCAAAAAGCACAGTCTTTCGGATGAGACGTTAAACCGAGGTCCTGACTCTCTGTGGTCATTAAAAATCCCATGGCACTTCTCGTAAAGAGTAGGGGTATAACCCCGGTGTCCTGGCCAAATTGCCCCCCTGGCCCTTGTCAATCATGGCCTCCTAATAATCCCCATCCACTTGATTGGCTCTATGACTTTCTCTCCTCTCCACCTGTAGCTGGTGTGTGGTGAGCGCACTGGCGCTGCTGTCCTGTGGCTGCCGTCGCATCATCCAAGTGGATGCTGCACACTGGTGGTGGTTGAGGAGAGACCCCCCCACATGATTGTAAAGCACTTTGGGTGTACAACAATACACAGTAAGCGCTATATAAATGCATCATTCATTCATTCATCAACACAGTATCATAAAAACTGTAACATACTGTACATATTTGTGCTTGCTCTGACTAGCCTACAACTTGTTTCAAACACTGATAGAAAGAGTGACCAGTCTTAAGTGTCAATTTTTCGAAATGGAGGTTTACACATTATCTGAAAGCTGAATAAATGAGCTTTCCATTGATGTATGGTTTATTAGGATCTGACCATATTTGGCCGAGAGACAACGATCTGAAAAGCTGGAATCTGAGGGTGCAGCAAAAAAAAAAAAAAAAATGAATATTGAGAAAAATCGCCTTTGAAGTTGTCCAAATGAAGTCCTTAGCAATGCATATTTGTTACATGCCTCCCCTGTCTAGGGTCAGGGATGGCAGAAACGAGGACATTTACGAACGAAGCCAGAAAAAAATAAACCGCTTTTCAACCGGCAACCTGGAGGTCTTCTCTCCTGTCCCAGCACTCCACAGAAAAGCACAGACTTTCATAACAGTCCAGAAAATTGGTTTATTTAACAAGTTAAAAAAAAGTACTAAGCACGGCGCAAATAAAGCTTCGGGAGAGGACCAGGCCAAAACAACAAACATAACAGGTCTAATTTACAAAAGGGGTACTTTCTAATCTCTCAAAACAAAATTCAAAATAAACAAAAGTCTTACCGGACTCCCTTTCTAGCCAAAAACAGGAGAAAACATGGACATTAAAAGAAACGGCATCCTCCTCCCTACTGCTCCAAAAGAAATTATAAACTTTTGCCTTACATCTCACGTTGTGAGTTTACTTGCACAAAACAAAGTAACAACATCTTTCCAAAGCATCAAAGTTATACACCAACAACTATGCAAACAGGCAACAACTAGCACACATGCTATTGTCTGGGGCAGGCGAAAAGAATCTCCAGAGGCCAAGAAGGGCCCTGCTTCACACAGAGTTTCCAGCTTTATCCACACGCTCTCCCTCCAGCAGCCAATCAGAGCAAGTCAGTAGTTGATGACAATTAGGACCAGGTGATCTTCATTAACCTTTGCATGGAGTAGAGAGAAGAGAGAGCGAGAGAGAAAACAAAACACAACACTGCCAAAAGACAAACTATCAACATAGCAGCAATATTAAATACTGCCCAAATATAACACCAAAAAAACCTATAAAAATAATTACGCCTTGGGACGTAACATATTACTAATCAAAAATGAAGTTTTGATATATTTATGGTAGGAAAATTACAAAATATCTTCATGGAACATGATCTTTACTTAATATTCTAATGATTTTTGGCATAAAAGAAAAATCGATCATTTTGATCCATACAATGTATTTTTTGGCTATTGCTATGCCGTTCAACTTATTGCATTCCCGTGCAACTTAAGACTGGTTTTGTGGTCCAGGGTCACATTATGCAGAAATATAGGTACAGAATATGATAAATATAGGTACACAATATGAGCATGTCTGGTCATAATTCTTGATAGTGAGAGATAACATGCCTCTGAATATATGAGCAACTAGAAAAAGACTTCATAGACAATAATTCAAAATTAAGAATCTTTTGACGATGTACAACTAAACTTTGATGGCACCATCAAACTTTTCACACTCTGTGGAACAAACTCAGACTTACCAGTAAAAAAAGACAACATATAGCCTAGGCCTACGCTTTCGCATCTCTCTCATGTGCATGATTTCCACATCATGCAGAAGCTGGCATATGAACCAAGCCTGTTGTCACAGATTTACAATATCATTCAACCTCAAACCACATCCACTCGTTTCATGAAAACATGGATATTTTTAATCCGTTAGTGAACTTTTGATCTGTTTTTGAGAACTTAGGATGTATTTTTTATTTTTTTGACAAATGAAAATGTGTGTTTCTGCGTCCTTATTCTCCCGAATCCAGTTGTGGAGATCTTCCCCTGGAGATTTACATGCACACAATCTTGCCATACAAAAAAAAAAAGAATAACAATGTAATGTTTTTATTCAAGCAGCATCACATATCACTGTATGCTTCCCACAGAGGGTTAACGCTCCTGCTGAACCGGATGTGATTCCTGCTCCGTTTCAGTGTTGTCGTTGCACGGCCAATGGCGGACGGAGCCTGAGCATTTGTCTGAAAAACGTACGTTTTGCACAAATATACTCGAATATCGATAGGCCAGTCAAAGCTTTCAGATCGCACGCGTGTTTTTGGCCCTGATCAGATTTGCGCCCATCAGCATGGATGTGAATTTGACCATCTCTCTGATGCGGGGCCAGATGGGCGCTGTTATTGAGAAAGCCGTGAACGTCGCGGTGGAGACCGTGCTAGGCGAGATGATCCGGGTGGTCGGGCTCAAATTTGAGGAGATCAAACGTGACATGACAGCTAAAGAGAAGGAGAATGAGAACATCAGGAGGATGTTGGAGGCGTCTCGCTGTCAGATGAAAACCATGCGCAAGTACATCAGCGTCCTGTCTGCTAAAGACCCCAACCATAGACTGTGTCAGGGAGATGGAGACATGGCAACAACATCCACAGGGATGCACTGCAGAAGAGGGCCGACGAGCACTGTGTCAGTGTGTGCCAAAACCCCAGACCCCTGTCCCAGACCCAGAGTCTCTGAACCAGCCCCTGTAGCTGCCCCCTCATGGGTGAGGCTGAGACAGCAGATGCACATGTCCAAAGAAACATTAAGAAGTGAGAATCACATTGCTGATGTCCATATTGAAGAGATCCATGGATCATCAGTTCATAAAGGTATGAAACGCCTCCTTAATAGACATGTATAGGTAATGCGTGCTATGCAGTACTTTTCCATATTCCCATCATGTATGTCTTAATATGTTAAATCAAAATATGACAATAGGTAACTTTTTTTGCCACACTATCACAACTAAGTGAACACGAGACTTTTAAAAAATTTCATAAATCTGTTTTGAGTGAGTCTTGTCATTTTTGCCACTAGGATGAAAACTTGTTTAGAAATATTCCTGCTTTTTTTTTTCTCGTTATGGTCATTATATCGTTTTATTTGGTAGTCAATTTCCTCCTCGGTTTTAATTTCCGTCCTGTTATCATTTAGCAGGATGTGACAATTTTTGTTGGAGACAACAGTACAAACATATCTAGCTAGGTATTAGCATTAGCAATCGATTAGATGTCTTTTATGTTTTGCTGTATTAGTTGGTTTGTCTCGCTCTTTAAAGGGGTCATATGATGCGATTTCAAGTTTTCCTTTCTCTTTGGAGTGTTACAAGCTGATTGTGCATAGATAAGATCCCTGAAGTTGCAAAGACTAAAGTCTCAAAACCAAAGAGATATTCTTTATCAAAGTTAAAGTTTAAAAAAAGTTTCGTGAACCTAGGAGAGGAGGTAATTCTGACTTTGCTATGACAATCTGGCGCTTCTGAATCAGCTACTGTTTTGTTATTAGTTTAAGTATTTGCTATTGACTGTTCAAATGCGGAGTTTTGCGCATCGTGTGTGTGTGTGTGAGCGAGAGAGGGAGGGAGGGAGGGAGAGAGGGGGTCACATCACAGTGGAGTCAGCTGTCTTAACCGTGGCTTGTGTACTGCAAACACATACCAGCTTCATCACTGTGTCTGTCACGCGACTCTGTTCCCCTTTCGGGCTCTGTCTTTACATTTATTTTGAAAGATGAAGCTCGCGATTATGGTAAGGGGCGTTACATTTCCGACGAGTGCTTGCGGTGTTCGGCCAATCACAATGCACTGGGTCAGCTGGCCAATCAGAGCAGACTGCGCTTGTCGGAAGGAGGGACTTTGTAGAAAACGAAGCGTTTGAGAGAGGCGGGGCATAGAGGACCTACAATAATGTACAGTATTTGAAAAATAGTGCGTTTTTTGAACATTAAAGCATGTCAACATATTCTGTTACACCAAATACACAAAATAATGATCTTTAAAAAAGCATCATATGACTCCTTTAAACATTGAATTATATTTAAATAAATTACAGAAATTTATATGATTGTCAAAATTTATAAAGACGCAAAAAGGCACAGTGTCATGTAAGCTAACTGTTAGTGATGGCGAAGTGAAGCGTTCTGAACCAGTGAAGCTTTCATCACAATTGTATCGGAAAAAGTTCATTACTCGAAGCTTTTTAAAACGGTTTATTCTGTGGCCATCTAGTGGTCATAAAAATAAATAGTACCTGCCAGCAGTTTCACATCTGGTTCTATAACTGATTTTTTGTTTTATTATATTTTATATAAATAATATGTATTGTCAAAGTCATTCATTTGTGTCGGCGTACTGGCCCTAAAATAAGTAAAATAAATAAAACATAAATTCATAAATTAATTCTATGATCTGTTTATTTGAACTCTGCCTCAGTCCTTTGACTGATATTTCATGACCAAAGTTCATTTTTGAGCTAAATATATAAATTACGATAAAAAAAACAATGCTAACATATTATAATGTAATATAATGTAAAGGAAATGGCGATGAGGTTCGCTTCGTTTGAACCAGATACTGAAGCAGTCACGTGGTTTTCAGGTGAATGAAGCTTCGGACGTCATAGATCACGTGCTTTTCTCAAAACGAATCAAGCTCCGATACAGTGCTTCAATGTGAAATGTGTTGTTTTTTTGATACAAGCTTCGAAGCTTCGGTGGTGAATGTAACATCACTACTAACTGTCAATGCCTCACTGAGCAGTGGCTCACTTTAGCTCTTTTTCCATCCTGCTAGGTTCCATCCTAGGTCACCCGCATGGCTTTTCCAAATTGGATTTACTTTTGCTAAATAAATAGTGACCTGGTGTGATATGGCATGTGTTTTTATTCATCTTTTCCAAATTTTAAGCCCTGCCAAGGACCAGATGATTTCTTTATTATGTCCTGATACAGAAAACCATGGAATTCAATAGGGTGTTCTTTCTTTTTCACATGACTGTATATGTCTACCATTATTTTTTAATGTTATATTGTTATATACTTTTTATTTTGTTATATGACTCTTGTTTTCAATAAAGCAGTTTTATTATTATTCTTTCCTAATGTTTTCCCTGAACTCAACAGAAAAAGACTTTTGTTGTTTCCGTAGTTGAGATCTCAAGCCCTCATCTGGTGGACAGCCAGGTGCTTCTGTCTGAGACCAGTGATCCAGTATGGGGTCAGAACCCTCTCGTCTCTGCAGAGACTGGGCACACAGACATGCCAGACAGCAGCGTCCTCTCTGCACCCATGATGGCAGATGAAAGTGTGTCATCCCAAACTACAAGCACAGTGGCATTTGGAGCACCTTCACTTAAAATCAAACAGGAGGAAGCGGAGGTTGAAATAGTCTGTGTGAAGGATGAACACGCAGAAGCTGGCAGCATCCCTAGATTTGAATATTCCGACCCTGAACTTCACCAGCAAGTGGGAGAACCAGAGCTCGGGGTCTCACTAGATCTACCCGCATCATTTCAGGCTCTTCAGAGTCCAGGCACTTCAGCAGACCTTGCAATCCCAGCATTCATGAGTGTGGACCCAACTACCTGTAAGTATAAAATTTAACATTTCTGCACTGGTTTATTTGGGATATTATGAACATGTAGATAGTAATGCCTTTCTTAGGCTTCTAAATCCCTGATATTACATGTATGTCACCAAAACAACCATGGTGTACAAACCTTTTTTTTTTTAATGCATAAAGTCCT